TTCAGCCAAGACACTAGCAATGATGATATCTGTTGCATGTCCTCTTTTGAATTTCTGGGCACTCCATACTAATGGACCACCACAACAATTTTATAATTACCTTTTGTGAGATTTTTTTTTTGCAAATGATAAAAATAATATCGTTCAATAATGTCTATATTCTGATAATACAGTCTGATAATAATGTCTATATTCCTTTGCAATGAGCCCAAGTATGGATTTTTTCCAGTCAATTGAGCAGGTCTCACACATTTCTTGGTGCACTGAGTGACCACCACCTCCAGAGGTGCATCTGTTTGCTGAAAAGCTTCAATTAGTATTCCATCAATTCCTGGAGAATGATTTTTGCCAAATCCTTTAGTGCAGTTTGGACTTCTTCCTTTAATACCACTGCTTCTAGATCATATGCTATTTCCTGAAATGGTTCAGTGTGGGCCCATTCTTCTTGGTATGGTGACTCCTTTCATCTTATCATGATGCCTCCTGCAGCACTGAATAATCTGTCTGTATAATCCTTCAGAATTGTAACTCAAGGCTTCACTTTGTTCTTCAGTTCTTCCAGCGTGAAGAATGCCAAGTGGGTTCTTCCCTTTTGGTCTCCGCACATTTCATTTTAATTCTGTGCTTGGTCTTCTTGGGCTTCCCTTCAAAAGCTTCTGTTCCACTCTCTCACATCATCATTTTCTCCTTTCCCTTTAACTTCTCCATGTTCTAGAGCAAGTTTCACAGTCTCTTTTTTTTTTTATCATATTTTTATTAATTTTAATGAAAATTTACAGAGACTTTGGATTTCCATTCATTCACTGTTGTACTTCAGAGTCTCTTCTGGCAACCACTTGGTCTTTTCTTTCTTGCTGTCTTTTTTTTTTTTTTAAATTCCATGTACTTACTGCAGAGGGTCAAGGACTGCAGCCTTCAATATGGACTGAGGCTCAATGTCAAGAAGACAAAAATTCTCACCACTGGACCCATCGGTAGCATCAGGATGGATGGTGAAGAGATTGAGATTGTTCACAGCTTCAGTTTGCTCGGCTCCACGGTCAACACTCTTGGCACCAGCAGCCAGGA